TTTGATTTATAAATATAAATATGCTATGAAGATAAAACATTTTTTCCATGATCTAGCTTTACTAAACTTTTTGATAAACATATCTGATTTGAAGGTCGGAGTATTTTCTACCGGCCAACCTCAATAAGACCGATCAACTCTGAAACAGTATTGGATGATCAAGATTTTGAACACCATATTAGAACAAGTGAGACTGATCCTCGACTCTCTAGAGTGAAACACAAAAGGCTACATTAAAAAGGAAAAAGGTTGAATTGGATTTAACTTATTTTGCGACATTATACCTTTTTTCGGGTTCCTTACCGAGAGCAAGATCCTTTTATTAGAATTTTTATAAGTGGTTGACGGAAAAACATCAGGCTTGCAAATACACAATATGAAAATTTGGTTGAAAATGTGATTTTGGATGAGTTTTGGAAAAAAGAGATTGTAATTTATGGACGAATCTCCTTTTTATTAAAGTGTTTTGAATGGTTGATTCACATGAGAAACTAGTCATGAGATTTCTCTCTGAGGCAGTGGACCAAGTTGAGGAAAAGATAAAAATGTATTAAGTGATGTCAAGAAAAGGTAATAGTGTTACCTAAACTATTTATGGTTTGCAATATTTGTTGTACTAATTTCAAAAGCAAACTCTTACTCAACTTATTTCCTTTTTTTAGTTATTTGTCCGTATGAGATATGATTGACGAGAAATACCACAACCAATTTCGTTGGCCACTTCATATCGTTGCTTATTATCTCAACCGTTAATTTCAATATAAACCAAATTTTAAAGCGAATATGAAACTTAGAAGAGGATGGTGAATTTCGAGGACTAAAATCAAACAAAAATGTGGAAGCTAATTGTTTCGCATTGTCTTATATATAATAATATTTAAAATTATTCAACTAATTCTAAATAAAACAGTATTAAATATAATGCACTAAATTGTTTCGCATCACTAACGTTATTAGTAAAAGACAATAAGATGGAAAAAATTATAAACATCTTGAGTGATCGACAAAAGATAATAAGATGGAAGATAAGTTCTATATAAGTGTTCAGGTGTTCTGTTTTTTTATATGAGAATAGGTTAAGAAATATTTTACTTGTTTTTTCTCTGTCATAGTCTATTGATTATGATATTTGTATGGAGCTTTAGTTGTTGACTTTCTTATGGTTGTGAATTTCTATTCATTTATGGTATCTGTATGTAGTTTTAGTTATTACTTTCTCGTAGTTAGGAATTTGAATATAAACGGAAGTTTAATTGTGGTATTTGATTATGGATTAACTCTCAATTTTAGAGTTAATAATTTAGTGACTAAATTATAAAAAAAATATCAGAGTTGGAATATCATTCGATAATTTGAATTAAAATCATCACTAATGTTTCGGGTGTAAAATTGAGGATCTTTACAAAACACACATTTACACTTTACTTCAAATTAGTTTAGGTAAAAGTACGTATCTTAGTCCTAAATTCTTCCTTGTTCATGCTCTAAACTGGGGTACATGCTAAAGGTACTTCAATACTTAAGTCAGTAACTAGTACGATAACAAAATCTTAAATTCACAATAAATGAACTCACCTACTATTTTACCTTTGACCTCTATTTATAGGTTTTGAGATGGGTCTGATATTATTGAAGTCTTAATCATGACCCAAAACCTCTTATGCAATGTTTATCATTTAACAGAGTATTTAAGAATGATTGATATGTTAGGATATGTTCGCTCGGCTTCCTCTCCTTTTGGGCCGTTCGGTTGACGGGTCGTTTATTTGACTTGTGACTTGTGAGCTTTTTTGCTGGTCAAGTCCCTCAAATCATTTCATCCGATTGGTTATCATATTATTGTCTGATCATACCATATAACTAAGAAATCAAATGGGATAATTTTTATATATTTAATGCATAAACTAATTTTAATATATGAAAAGGTACCTCTTTTGTTAGAATTAGAATTTAAGATTTAGTTGGTTTTAAACTAGAAAATGGAATGAAAGATATGTAAAAGGTGAAAGATATAAATAAAAATGTTTGGATCTATAGGCATGTGTAAGTGTGAAGGATAATATATAAGGCGCCTGTATCTATATTGTTCCCATTCTACGGTCTATGGCATAGGATTTATGGTGATTGCAATCTTTCACACTTGCCATTTGCACAAGTGGGATTTCATTGTACTTGATGCATCGGACACTTTGATTTTTCAATGGAAGATTTGCTTATTCTTGTCCCTGAAGTTGATGTGCTGAAACCCTTTCTCCATAGAATTTCCATGCCCACAAAACTACACTCTCACTCAGTTAATAATGTACTTTTGGGAGGGTTACACATATATATAGATCCAGCCCAGTTGGATTTTAATTGGGGTTTTCTCATCCTAAATTATTATTAAAAAAATTAATTTTAAACTGAATTATAAATTATTTGGTTCTTACATTTTGTGAAAGTCTCGTGAAAGTCGTGTAAAATATTATCTTTAATAAACGACTTTTGAAATGTTTTATATTATTTTTATGAAATACATAAATGAAATATTTTATAATTTAGTTTATGGATGAATCATAATCTTTTTAATAATAATTTGAAAATGAAAAGTATATTTAATCTTAAATAAACATGTTTCTGTTTATTATTAATCATCTATGTGGTATGTATTTTACTATTCATCTAAACAGGTAACAGGAGTTTTGTTTTGTTTTGAAAGAAAAAGTTGTTTTCCTTTGGAAAAAACTACTATAAAGAAAAAAGATGCTAAGAAAATAAAGCAAGGTTGCATTTTTTTTAAACCTATTTAGTTTTTAAAATGCAACTAAAAACCTTGTTTAGATATAATGACGGTTAGAGAAGGTAGAGTGTGAAAATGGAAGAAGGGAGTTTAAGAGGATGATAGATGAAAAAACGTAACTATGCTTTTTAGTTTTTAAATACTTAAAATAGTTTTCGAAATTTGCCAGAGTTTGGATAAGAAATTGGTTGAAATAAAGTTGTTCAGGAAAACAAATTTTAGACAAAAAAGTGAGAAGAGAAATAACCATGTCATACTTAACGAGGTTAAATTCGTTTCTTTAAATAATTTCTAATTTTTAAGTTTAGATCAAAATTTTATTTCTAATTTCTTTTTGTTTGGTCAAACTGATTGTAAAAAATATTCTAATATTAAAATTTGTATTTATCTAATAACACTAACAATAAATATACAATCAATAAAATGAATTTTTGATTAATGTTGGTTTAATTATAACCTAAATAATAATGATATAACTTAGAATTAATATAATTATTCTTAATATTAATTTTATTTTTAATCTGATTGATCAGTTTATTAATCGATTTATTGACCAATTCATATGTAATCATAAACTAATTAAGCGTTTGGTTCATACGTAACTAGCAATTCTATTTTGATTTCTGGAATGGGAAGCATTAATATAAATTAATTTGTTATGCAATGAATATCTTGAAAGATAGAAGTAGTTTCTTAAAAAATGACAGAAGAAAATGACAGTTTAGAATATTTGAGAAAGTTAAGAAGCAGAATGAAGGATTGGGTGAAAGCAGAGAGTAAAGTGAATATATTTCGAAAAGAGATTTATTGAAAAATGAGATAATATTTGGAGATGAGATTTGGCACAGAGATGAATCTGAAAAGAGTGTAAGAAGGAAAGTGTCCCACCTTCCTTTTCAGGGAAGCAACAACCATACAACTTGGATTTTAATTTCCTCTTATATCTCCATTCTTTCATAACACAACTTCGCCGGTGCATTAAATATGCCTCATTATTATTTTTTATTCCATGGAATATATTTCATCTCCTTACTATTTCAAAAATTTATTTTTCATTTGCAATGTTTTTGGTGTTTGGATTGCAGGATGAGGACTTTTATTAACACTAATGTGATTTATCTATTATGGGATATCTAATTGAGTTGAGAATTAGATAATTTGGTATGACTTTGAGCTTAATCACTATTTGGGAATCCTTATAGAAGCATAATGTGATGGGACAGAGTGAAGTGAGTTGTATAAAGCAGGTTTGTGTTATCCATCACAACAATACCTAAGTTTCATTCTATCCTTTTTCTTGTCCTCGTTACATCCAAAATCATTTATTAACTCTTTTAAATAATTAAATCTTTCAATTTCCACCATTTTAAATCTCCACCACTAATAAATCTCCAACTTTTCAACCTGCTTTCAATACTTTTTCTTTTTAAAAGTTAAGATTGATCTTAAATATTTTATTATTATCTTAATCTTAAACTTTCGTATAATATTAGATTTTTTATTTTAAATTTTAATACATTTTACTTTCTAAATTTTAAAAATATATATATAAATTTTTCAACTAATTACATTATTTCTTTTTATGTATTAAGTCCTTATTAAATAATATAAACAACTTAATCATTACCATAAAATACCATGTAATTAGATTTGAAAAAGTATATCTATTTATTTGTTTAAGTGTGATGATCATCTTGTATTAAATTTAAAATAAAGAAATATAAATTTTGTATTCAAATTTAAAGATTAAAAATATATTTAATTTTATTATTAATTATTCTCAAATTTTAAAGATGTGAGATATTTGAAAAATGTCTTATATTTTTCAACTTATGTATATTTCAATAAGAGACAAATATGTTGAATCCAAAATCGAATGGTTGGATATTTTTGTTTATGAAAATAATGGTTATCCAAATACCGAATTAGATTAATTTAAAGTGAAACTTGGAAATAGAAAAAAATAATAATTAAAGGCATGAATTTGTTGCATTGTACATTTGTATGACTAATACAGGTATAATTTTTGTAAAGAAAAATCTGAATCTTTTCCTTTGATGCTTGCAACTGTGAGAGACATGTACGAGCATTTTGGACGTGGTCTGCTACATGTCCCCACATCCACGTGACCCTGTTTCTCTTCCTCATTTTCTCTTCTCCACATTCACCAACGATAAATGCGTCTCATTTCCACACTCTCACGAATCAAACAAACACTTAAGATACCCTTCTCCTCTGTTTTTGAGAAAAAGTTTCAGAGCAAGTAACAGAAGAACAGAGCATAATGGCCATAAGAAAATCCACTAAGCTACCGCAAGCAGAAGTGATAAAGCAAATAGTGAGAAGGTGTTCGAGTTTTGGAAAGAAACAGGGATACGATGAAGAGGGTCTTCCAGAAGATGTGCCAAAAGGGCACTTTGCAGTGTATGTTGGTGAAAACAGGACAAGATATATTGTCCCAATTTCATGGTTGGCTCATCCACAGTTTCAAACTCTTCTCCAAAGAGCTGAAGAGGAGTTTGGCTTCAATCATGATATGGGCCTTACCATCCCGTGTGATGAAGTTGTTTTTGAGTTTCTTACCTCAATGATTAGATCATAATTTACCCTTCTCTCAAGTACCATTTTCTAAGCCCCAAATAACATTTTTACTTTTGCTTTTCTAATTGTATATAACTTCCTGCATCTCGTTTCATTTCTTAATTACACTGCCGCTTCTAAAAACTCAGTTCTACGTTTATTTAATCTTATTTTTAGCTTCACAGACTCAATCCCCTCTTTATTTTCACTCTGGTTGAAGTCATTGGCTTCGTAAATGGAAATTGAAAGATGTGTGATTAGTTTTCTCCCAAGAAGAGCTTATTTCAGACATTCAAACGTGTGGTGCGTGAAAGAATTATTGGTTCTTTCTCATTCTTTTCAAAGTTGCATGGCTGAGTTTCGATGCCACGATCGATTTTACTAATGCCGATGTGACAACACCTGTAAAGTCAAATACAGTTTTCTAATATAATGTTGTATTTTATAAGATTTTATTTATCCACACCTGCTTTCCCATAATATCCCACCCTCGAAACTCATACATATGAAATGTAGCAATAATTTTATTATTTTTGTTAAAAGAAAAATTATCCATGAATTTTTAAATTGGTGATTTACATCTCATTTACACACTTAAGAAGAGATAATATATATAATATTAATTTATACTATACATAATAATAGAAAAATAAAACATATACAATTAATTTCTTTCAAAAGTAAGATAAATTTATGAGTGGACTTCACTCTTTCTCGTGCATGTCCTTATTTTCTTTTTCATTTTTATTTCTCTTAATTGTTTCCGTTAGTGTTTTTTTAAGAAATTTAAATCAATTTTACAAATCGACTTGTAAAGTGAAATTTACATTCACTTTTATATTGTAAATTTGTTTTATTTTTAATTGATGTAGGAATTTTAACATATTTTTGCATGTTAAGGCATATGAATATTCAGTATGAGATAAACATTAATGGATAATCCGATAACATCTCAATAGCGGATGATATGATATACCTAACAAAAATAAATCTCTCAATAGCAAATGACATTATATCCAACAAATAACAAATCTCGTTAAGATAAAATTTAAATGACTTTAATATCATGTTAAGAAACAAACTTTAAACTTAACCTTACAAAATCAACTCATCATGTGAAGTTTGTTCTCTCTTATTGGAGAAATCTTCCTTTGTAGGTTAGAGTCAATGATAGAAAAAACTTGAAATTACCTTCAACATAATGTTTTACAAGATAATATTACTATAAAAAAATTACATATTACTCCCGAGCATAATCTATCTTATGTTTATTGACGAATTATTGTTCGGTAGAAATTCGTTTGTAAAGTGGTTATCGATAAATTTTATCGATGGATAATAAATTTGTCAATAAATACCAATTACAACAAATTCATCGCTAAATAGTCATTGATAAATGTTCACTAGTAACATCCGTTGTTAAAATGTGAGATTTGTCTCATTCTTCTTCTTCCTTGTTTTTTAATTTTTTCATCTTTTTCCTCCTCGCCATCATTGTGTTGTCATGCCATTACCGTCCCTTCTAAGTCATTGTCATCTTAAGGTATCTTATTCTCCTTCGATTTGTCTTCCTCTTCCTCCACTTCATTATCCCCCTCCTCCATCTCTTTCTCTAACTCCGGTCATCGTTACTATCACCAACGTCTTAACACGTACACTTCATTAGCAAGCCTCTACATCACCACCAAGCCACCACCATCTATTCCTCCTCCTCTTTTCTTCTTCTTCACGCTCATCTCCCTTTAATATAATTTATCGATGGACAATTCTAACGACTTCTGTTGTCGTAATTATAATTATAAGTTACTAACAAAATATCCATCAATAATAACAATTGTAATTTATTGAATCTTTCTCACAAATTTTACAAATGAATTTCATACCAATGACAGTATTCGTCAAAAAAAATTAAAATGTGAAATTCATCAATAAACTTAAATTTATTGGCATATTTGTTTTCGTCAGAAATATTTAGTTGATAATTAATGAAATTCTCATAGTATATATTTGTTGGCTTTATCCATTATATTTTGTTCAATTTGTCATTTATATGTAGGGGTGACAATGGGAGTTGGTCCAACTTGTTTAAGCCAGCCTTGCACTTACTCTCAAAATGCAGGTTAGCCTGAACCTCCCCACAAACAGCCTAGCCTGTGAGCCAACTCACTTTGTCCTTCAAGAGTTTTAAGTTTTGAATATTCTCTTCGATGTTATGAAATTACTTTTGAAATTTCTCAAATATAGATTAAATTAAATTGGAAAAATACCTGTTATTTCCCACACAAAAGTAAAAGACAGATTATAAACTAAATCAAATTGCATAAAAGTGAAAGGCAAATAATACATATATAACAAGCAAAGGGAATTGATGTGGTTCGTCATTGGTATGGAAATAAAAGACGTTGGTCGTCATTGGTAGCTAGGAAGGGACGCACTTCGTTGCCGGTGAAGAGAAACATAGGACATTGACCACTCCGTCACCAATGAAGAGTAGGAGAAGACGCGCACCGTTGCTTGCTAGTGAAGAGACCACTTCATCGTCGATGAAGAAAAGGAGAACACATGCATTGGCGTCGCTGGTTGCGAAGGGGAACCTATTGTGGTTGAGTTGAGTCCGTTGTTACATTTTGGGGAAAAAAGAGATAACCTTTGTGTGTGCATGTGAATTTGATTATTGCTTTAGGATTAGGAAAAATTCAAAACGGGTACACATGTTGTCTTTGGTTATAGGCCAGCAGACTGCAAGTTATCTGGGATAGACTTAAGCAGATCAACACATTCAAAATCTGAATTTGTCCCACACTTTTTCTTCTAGTTGTACGAGCTCGCATGACCCATTCCACATTACCACCCTTATTTTTTATGTAATAGACATTTCAACTCATAATTCAACTTCAACAATTCTCCCATAAATGAGACTTTTTCTGTACTTTAAACCTAATTTTTTCATTAAGTACAATTTATCACTCATTAACGTAGAAGCATACATGAATTTAAGCTTATAAGATTTTTAAATGTACTTTTACCAACAATAAAATTGTTTATATTTTCATCCTATCTAAAATATAAGTTTTATTAACTAAAGACACAAAGAAATATATTCTTTAAAGATAATAAATTCTTTATTTTTTTCTTTCACAGATAATTGTTTACTTCATTTTAAGATTTTTTTTTTATACGTGAGACTCCACCATTTAGTAAGAAAAAAAAATTCTTTAACTAAGAGTTATGGTATATCAATTTGATGAGAAAATATGTCAAAATAACCATTTAACATTTTACTTCTTTTTTATGATAATCATTTAAAAAATCATATGTAAATATTTTAAATTAACTAATTAGCAATTTATAGAAAGAAAATGATAGATGAGTCAAATGTTAATAGCATACGATATAAGAAAAAAAAATGATTTGTTAACAATTATTATGTGATTTAAATGTTTTTTTTAATTTTACGGAGTTTTTAAATTTTGTTTTCGTCTCAAATTATTATTTTTATTTAATATATTTTATTTATCTAATCACTTTATTTCGTTGTTAAAAAATACTATCTAAAAAATTTAGACAAAAAAAGCAAAATAAAATTATTAGATACATATGTTAAAATTTAAAAAAAAGTTTGAAATAAAATCATATTTTAAGCCTACTTATTTTTATCCATTATATATTTAGAAACCTCTTTATTATTTTTGTTATTTTTTTTATTATAATTATTTATTATTTAATAATACAGTATAATGATTTTATTTTTTAAATATTAGAATGTTTTTTCAATATTGTGTGAATAAATATATGCTTAATTTACTTTTTTGTATAAATTTAGATTTTTAATTTCCAATTATTATCTTTATAACTTTTTATGAGAAATTTTGTATGCAAAGATAAATGAATTTTAATGATGTTATTATATAAAACCAAGTTAAATTAATCCACTACAATAAATATATAAAATAAATTAAAAATCAAAACAGTAAATCCATTAATCTATAATAAATTTAGTGGAATATAAATTTTTTTCTCATTATCAAATTAAACAAATTCACTTTTAATTTAATATTAGTCAACTCATATAAATTAGGTTGACTATGATAGTTCCATTAGTATTTTTTAAGAAATCTAAATCAATTTTACAAATAGAGTTGGAAAACGAAGTTTGCACTCATTTTAATATTACAAACTTGTTTTATCTTTAATTGATGTAGGATTGTCAAGACACATTCTCATGTCAAAATATATGTATATTAAGTATGAGATTTAACATTAATAGATAATTTGATAACATCTCGATAACGGGGTGACATGATAAACCTAACAAACAATAAATCTCCTAATAGCAGGTAACACTATAGATCCAACAGAGAACAATTCTCGTCAAGATAGACTTTAAATGACTTGATATTGTCTTAAGAAATAAAATTTAAACTTAACTTAATTTTACAAAATCAACTAATAAGGTGGAGTTTGTGCTCTTTATTAGAGAAATCTTCCTTTATAGGTTAGAGCCAATGGTAAGACCAAGTAAAATTGAAATTACCTTCAACATAAAATTTTACATGGTAATATTATTATAAAAAATTGCATATTATTGACAAACATAATTTATCTTATGTTTATTGACAGATTATCATCGAGTAGAAATTCGTTGGTAAAGTGGTTGTCGATAAACTTTAACAATGGATAAAAATATCCGTTGATAAATACTAACGATCATAAATTTATCGCTAAATGGTCGTTAATAAATGTTCTCTAGTAACATGAGTCGTTAAAATGTGTGACTGGTTTCATTTTTCTTCTTCCTTTTTCCTTATTTTTTCATCTTTTTCCTCCTCGTCATCATTACATTGTCACGCTACCGCCTCTTCTAAGTTATTTTCTTATTTTAATATCTTATTCTCTTCCTACTTTTCTTCTTCTTCCTACACCTCATCCTCCTTCTCACCTCCTTTTCTAACTCTGGTAACCATCATTATTGTCACCAACTTTCTCCACCTATACATCACCAACAAGCCTCTATGTTACCACTAAGTCACCTCCTCCTCCACCACCATCATTATCTCTTCCCTCTTTCTCCTCTTTTTTTTCTTTTTTATACTCATCTCCCCTTAATATAATTTATCGAT